TGGGATGTCAAGATCCCAGAGTATTTCACTTTACCAGCCGAGTATGATAGGGAGTTAGTCAAGAAAAAAGCAAAAGAAATCATGGGAACATGCTTCAAGAATTTCAAGGGGACATTGTATAAGAATTTTGTCCTCCAAAATAAAGAGCCAAATTTTGATGGTGGATAGTTTAGCAAGCAGAAGGACTTCTAGCAGGCTTTCAAGGAATACAGGTTATCCGAGGAGTACTTAGAACTGAGCAGGAAGAATAAGGAGAATTCACAGAAAGCGACGAATCCTCATCATCTCAGCTCTCGTGGCTACGCCAAAAAGATGCCAGAATTTGAAGCAGAACTTCAAAAGATGGATCGCCTTGCCGAGGAAGGCGTTCAGGTTGAGACCGCCGATTGGGAGCCCAGATCGGTAATATACTGTATGGGGAGGAATGTATGGCACGCCGAGGACGGGCGCTTTAGCTCCTCAAATCTACCCATGAGCGAACTCATCCAGAGGATCTCCCAGGTAACTAAGGAGGTGAGGCAAAGGACTCGCACTTCTAATAGGGAGAAAGACGTGCTCACCCAAGCACTCGGAACCAAGGAGCACCTTGGTCGCACTAGAGGAACCGGTGTTGTTCCTTGGAAACTAGCATTCCCCCAAGAATCTAACACTTACCGGAGCCGCTCGAGGGATAGAGAGGAACATGAGGCAGAGTATTTGAGGAGACTAAAAGAGATGGAAGACAGAATGGAAGCATGGATTGAGGCGACCGTTGAAGCGCGAGTCGAGCAAATTTTGCTGTCCAAGGGGTCAGCAGTACCACAAAACCCTACTCCTACTGCATTTAGCCCATAGTTTAGGGGTCGCAGCAGCTGCGGATCGACCCCGCTCGACAAAGAAGAGGTGAATGTGCCTCATTCGGTGGACGACATCACTGAACCCATCAATGTCAGGTTGTACATTTGTCAGGAATGGACAAAGGACAAGGTGGCGCTTGGCCAGGCCTGGCCTATGGGAGACAGGACAATTAATGGCTGCCCAATTCCATTGGGGTACGCTCGCGTCACCATTGACAGAATACTTGATAAGAAGTATAACAAGATGCCCATTGAGTACCCCGTAGCGGAAGATAGGCCGAAACTTGGTCATAACAAGGGCTCTCAAGTGGCCTGGCGCAAGCGCTTTATTAAGCTTGACCACCAATTATCCTCTGATGATGAGGACAACTGCGATTCTTAGCCCACCCACGATGATAACTCATCATCTCTCAACAGAGATGACTCCCCTCCTCATCCGGAGCCATCACCCCCGAGAAGACAGAGGTCTCCTTCTATTCCTCCTCGTCCGACTCCATCTTCATCAGCCCCGAGAAAAGAGACTCCTCCTCCTCCTCCGACTCCATCTTCATTAGCGCTGGGAAAATAGAATTCTCGTCATCATCCTCCTCCTCCTCCTCCACCTCAGCCCAAAACAAGATCAAGGACATCCTTGCAGTCGCAGAAAAGGTCCTTGGATTCAGTCGCTAATGCTCCCAAAGTGGACCAACAGAAAAGAAAAAGGCCGTTCAATGGTAGCGTTACCTCCTTGATGGAAGAAAAATTTATAGCACATGTCAAGAAGGAAGATTGTATTAGTTTCTTCAATCTCTGTGCCTCACTACCTTCGTTTATGTTGAAGTCCGAATTCGAAAGGCAAACACAGAATAAATACGCTACAACAAGAGACGAAGAAATACACAATAAAGATTTAAGAAACATACAGAAGTACGTCGAAGACAACCCAGGATTAACCATGGAAGAGGCCGCGACCATCTATTATGATGTACAAGGGACGGCAACACCAGCAATGAAGTATGAAGGGGCAATTTTTTGGTTTCCGATCATGAGTTTAAAAATCTGACAACATATATGCGCCATTTACATGAATATTACATGGCTCAAGCAACAGAGACGGACAACTTTGGTTTTGAGGTTATTATCCGTTCGCCACATGTTTTTAATTATCCTGAAGAAGAGAAGTTCGATGTCTAGTGGGAGTGCTTGTTCTAGCTATACCAGAAACGCGATCTCGATGTTCAACTGTTGATGCTGTGGACTATGTAAGTACCCTACACGCACGATATTACAATTAACTACTCTCTTGAGACACACATTGTTAACTTTTGAGCACTTCCCATGATTTTATGTAGGTGTATAGCAAAATTTTGCATTCTAAAAAGTAAATGGGATTACATAGGCTTCTTGGACCCCATGCGAGTCAATGAGAGGACCCCTCTATGGATGTGATGTGGAAGACCTGAAACAGAGATTGATTGCTGTTTTCGACGAATTCACGATGAAGAAGAAAACCCACATACTTCTAGCCTACAACTGCGAGTATGTGTTCTCGGCTTTTAATTTTATGCTTCTTTTTTCGTTAAGATTATTCGATAATTAGGATTATGTGATTACAGCAACCATTTCGTCTTCATTTGTGTTAATCTTGCCAAAAATCTGCTCGAGGTGTGGGATTTGAAGAAAAAACCATTTCATCATCTGGATGCACTGGTGTCAGTGCTGAATTAGTAAGCGATCCTAATAACATATTATTTTCTAATCACACATACCCACTTTCTAATGTTTCTCCTTTTAATGTTGCTCAGTGTCCGAAGAAGTCATATCGGTGGGAAGCCGGTCCCATTCAAGGTTGTCGAAATGGAGGGGAAGTACCTATCATAGCCGCCGGGAAACAATGAATGCGGATTTTATGTAATGTGGGCAATGCTTCGCTACATCGGCGGGAAATAGGAAGAAGCCGATAAATTGGTGTGTATAATCCCCATTTCATTTATGTCTGTTAATAATTCAACAAAATAATTTACTGTTCCTCTTTGGATATCATCTTTTTTGAACGACAGCGCAAGAAATTTAAACACGAAAGGCTGCTAGAGATGAAGATCGTCGCACTACAATCGGAGCTGGCAAAATTCATCTTAGCCGAGGTATTGGAAAAAGATGGACTATTTTCCATTGCACAATCCATAAAGTACAAGGACCAGTATGGCCCAGAGCGGCTCGCCAAATTATTGTAAGAAGTCCGAGAATATTTCTTTTTTATTTTGAGGGATCGAGATCTGGATAAGAACATTTGAATTGTAACCGTAACATTTGTAATGTTTAATATTGATGGACCTGTCGTCTACGTAGCGTATATAAAGCGAAACTCGATCCCACGAAAAAATATAAATTAAAATAAATTATAAAACAATAAAATACGAACCGACAGTGTTGGCTTAACCATCACTGTCGGTTAGCAACAAACCGGCAGTATTGTTGTAACCATCACTGTCGGTTAGAAACAAACCGACAGTGTTGGCTTGCTCAACACTGCCGGCTTGAACCATGAGCCGACACTGATGATTAGGACAACACTGTCGGTTTGATCCATGAACCGACAGTGTAGGTTTCCTCAACACTGCTGGCTTGAGCCAAGAACCGACACTGATATTTACTACAACACTGCCAGTTTGATCCACGAACCGACACTGATATTTACAACAACACTGCCAGTTTGATCCACCAACCGACACTAATATGTACAACAACACTGCCGGTTTGATCCATGAACCGACATTGTAGGCTTGCTCAACACTGCTGGCTTGAGCCAAGAACCGACACTCTTGAAGCAACCGTCACTGTCGGTTGGAACTACAAACCGGCAGTGTTGTTCAACTAGACACTGCCGGGTGGAGCCAGAAACCGACACTGTTTCCTATAAATTAGTATCGGTTTTTAAGGACCGGCAGTGATGTCAACCCCACATGACTGCCGGTATGCCACTGTCGGTTCAAAATCCGGCAGTGAAGTGGGTTTTTGAACCGGCAGTGATGTCCAGATCTGGGGTAGTGCTTATTAATAAAATTCCAGTAGGTGCTCACACCTCTCCTGTTTTGTCAAAAAAATAATAATAAAAAGAAACTGAAGGCTCAAACATAGATGCTGCAGAAACTGGTACTGCTAGAGAGGCTGGAGAAGGGGAGCATGCTGACAATGGATCTCATATAGACGAATCTATGCTGATCAATTAGGCCAATCTATTGTGATCTTACATTTCTATGCTAAACTTAGTGCTGTTGTCAAACTTGAGGTGAAGTTTGTTGTCGTGTCCTATTGTGAACCTTTAGAACTTGTGACTTTTGTTGATCTGATCATGTTAGTTCTTTTGGGAAATCTAAAGGTGAAGACTTTAACAATTTTAAATTTTGTGACTTTAACAGTTCGAAGTCCATTTGGCCAAATTTGTGCTGTGTGAACGGCATGTGAAGCATAACCTGAACATCTCGGCATCTGCAAATACTCCATCCGTTTCAAAACAAGTGTCGTTCTCGCTTCTCAAGGAGTCAAACAATTTTAATTCTAACCAAATATATATGAGAAAATATTAATATTTAGAGTACATAATTAACATAGTTAGATAGATCGTTAAATTTATTTTTATAACAAACTTATTTATAGATAGAAATGTTGTTAATATTTTTTCTATAAATTTGGTCAAACTTAACAAAATTTGATCGGCACATATACTATAGCGACATCTATTTTTGAACGGAGAGAGTATATGGGACGTCGTGTCATTTGTGAACCCATATTTTCAGTATTGCTCGTGGTTTGCAGGTTCCAAAATGTCGAAGTTGATTAGTAGAGGGCAGCCGTACGGTATCATGGTGTGAACTCGAGCTAGCATCGTGTGCAAGCAGGAATAAACCATCTCTCCTTCATGGACGACACCAATAGACGAAACATGATAGAATCAGTGTACCATTAATTCATGTTACGCACTAAGCTTCTTCTTCTGTACACGAGGAGTGACAGAAAACAGCATGGCGACCACGCGTTTACATCATATTTGGTTGCTGGTTAATTCGTCAAGAGTTCATTTTAATTTGGCCACGCACCTATACATATTGGTCGACGACAGGACATCCGTGGCGCTCGATGAGGATTTCCGATCAGACGAATTACTAATTGTCTCTCTCTGTTTTATTAGCCGTGCTTGATGGAGCAAGCCACCACCTGCGCCCAGTGCCTCAGCCTCGTCTTCACAAGCTGAGGGTTGTCACCTGCACGCATGATGCGTCAGAATTATTTAATGGAAAGACAGCTCAAATGATTTTCATGAGAGCAGGTGTACGTGTGTAATTTATTACAGTACAGTACCTGGGGTAAAAATCTTCCATGCGTCGGCTCCGCCGGACGCGGTTGCGCCGGCGTTGGGGCTGCGTGGGCTCGGGATGTCGGGGAGCGTGGACGACGATGACACGGCCGACAGCGTCGACGTGGGGCTCGCCGCCGCCAGCGTCCGCAGCTTGGGGTCCGACAGCTGCCGGTTCACAGCGAAGTAGAATTCGAGGGCGGGGAGCGTGTCGCGGAGGTGGGCGCCGCCGGTCTCCTCGTAGAATCCGAACCCGAGCTCGAAGGAGCCCCGCAGCTCGTCAAGGTCCTCGTCGGTCAGGCACCTCATTGCGCGCTCCGACGAAGACCTCATAACATGATGATGATGATGCCGTTCCTCGACGGCGCTCTTGTTGCCACCGCCTCCTCCGTCGTCGTTTACCGATACCATGCTGCTGCGCCGCAGTATCTGCCGCCGGCGCTTCTCCCATTTGGCCTCCCTGGTGGTCTCCTTCATTGACAGCTGCTTCGATAGAAGCCGCCTCTTGTTATTGCCAACGCCGCCGGCCGCTTCGTGGTGATTGTGATTCCAACCCAGCGGGGGCGTCTTCTTCGCCTCGGCTACTTCGTCCTGCTGTGCTTCATCCTCCTCCCTCTTCCTGTCCCTGTCGCTGTCGTCCGACGACGAGGAGTGAACTTCGATGCGCGGCTTGTTCGTCATCACCCGACGGCCGTCGATGTTTTCCATCATGTCCAATCGATCCATGCTTACCAACTAATAATTACTCTAGCTATACACTATAGTATATATCCTCCGTTGAGTGTGAACACGTAGCAGCTGCCGTCCGTCACCGGTCGGGTGCACGGCAGCTGCGGCGTTCGGAGGAGGGGGGCGCCGGCGATCGTCGTCGGAGAGAGGGGAGGAGGGTCTCCTCCTGTTTGTACGTGTTGCCGGTGAATAAGGGAAAAGACGGAGACCCTCCTGTTCCCAGGAAACAGGGCGCTCACCACCGCCAGTCCACCCACCTCCTATGAAAAGCAAATCTGCAGTGGCAAGACAGATGTCCGTGTACGGGTGAGCTTGCCACCAAGGTTGGCCGGCCGTAACGATGGGCGGACGCGGAGATCAATCCTCACCGCTAGCTTCTTGCCTGCGGTGCACCAAATTTAACTGTAAGCTACGTTGTGAAAATCTGCTTTTAGACTGACCAAAAAACACGCTGAAGCTTTGTTTGATGCCCATGTATTAACCTCAACGCACCTGGATTGATGTCAATAAATGAGTATCCAAACAAACCCTGAGTTGAAAATAGCATCTCGGTGCATCGTTACAGGCCACCATTTTCCATTTTCCTTGTCTCGTTGTGTGTGCTTAAGAGTGGAGCGATCGATGAATCTAGGCCCAAGCCATATGTAAAACAAAAACAAAAACAAAAGAGAAGGTGCCGAATGTGGTTCTAAATTATAAGACGGTTTGTCTTTTTAGACACATTGTTCTTACCATGTATCCAGACGTAGTGTATATCTAAGTGCATAATAAAAATTATGTATCTAAAAAAGTCTGTCCTAATGATTGTTGTTGTCGATTTGTGCTCTTGATCACTACTCCGAATCCATAGATTAGTGCCAGATCTAAATCTGGCATCATTATCGAAATTGAATTCAACATAGGACAATCGGCAATAATAGAGTACCTAGACCCGGCAATAAAACAATGTTATTACTACCGTTCATGGACACGGCTCGGTAGTAATTGAATAAGGATTACTATCGGATCTAACTTGTACCCAGCAATGTTATTATGGAGGGCCACGGTCGGTTTAGTATTTTCAACCGGCACTATAACCTTCATTTTCCCATTTTTTATATACTTTATTACTAAATTTAAGTAGAGGTTGTTATCTAATATTTTACATTCAATATCACTAATAAATCATATATATCTCACCACCATTACATTTCTTACAAGATTTAATATATGAATGTATCATAGTTAGAAAACCCATATGCATACTTAATAAATAGAGATGGAGTCATTACAAACCAAAGTCTCTATAGAATAAGTGGAGTACACCCACTGGAACTAGTTATTATGTACCATGACATATTCCGTGTAGTGAACATCCCTGATTGTGTAACCAAGCACATCATTTAAGTATATCAGCGTATGTATTAGTGCATTCCCTTTTACTTTATATGTCCGAGCACAAGGTCTACCAAGGATTGAACAAACTAGAGGCGTAGCACATGAGCTGGGACTAAAAGAAAAATACAAATGCCCCTACAATCCATGTGAGGTGGGCCTTGATCTTATATAGTACCAGGGGTTACTAAGTTGCTCAACCGCTTGACTTAGAATGACATGGACGCTACACACAACATGCATCAAATCATAATACACTGTAAGTCATTATACCATATCATTTTTGTTTATGCTGAGCAATTTGTTAATTGCTGCCACATCTGGATTGTCCTCATGTAAATCTTGTCTCCGAATGGATGAGATGCCAAGAGTATAGTATCCATTGGTTGCAAACACCTCCATACATGCTTTCATCACATTTTTCTCGTTAGTTATTTGATAGGGTGCGGTCATTCCCATTATGGAAATTAGTGAGACATCTCTAGGGCATTACCACCTCTAGCACCAATGGTGAAATTCATGACACTAAAATGACTCTCCATCATGTAAGCTTGTTGTCACATTATTAGTTTGATGCACTTCGAGAAACCATAGTGTCACTATTAGAAATATCCACTTCTATGACGAATCCGAAACCATCATAGAACAACGCTTTTTATGACGAATATTTATGTTTCGTCATAGATCAGTGTTGACGATCCTCCAACCCTCATTATCTATGACAAAATCAGATATCGTCACAAGAAATGTCATACAAGAGCACACGGTTCCGTCACAGATCACTCGTGCGACTCATCTGTGACGATCCTCTTTAGAACTATGACGACCAGGGCTTTGTCATTGAACTAATTACACATCTGTGATGAAGTTTTCGATCTGTAACGAACGACACTTTGTCATAAATATCCACACTGTCCTTTCTCCATCCGACGTGTGCCTATGGGACCTGTAGTTATTCATCCGTGACGCTTGCAATTCATCTTAAAGTCTCCCACTCGGTCCTTTCTCCATGCGATGTGTACCTGTGGGACCATTCTTCATCCGATGTGTATCTGTGGGACCTGTAGTTACTCATCCGTGACGCTTGCAATTCGTCATAAAAGTCTCCGCTCGGTCCTTTCTCCATCTGATGTGTACCTATGGGACCCTTCTCCATCCGACCAGTGGGACCCGACGGCTTACGTGTCACGTGTACCTGTAGAACCATTCTCCATCTCCATCCGACCTGTGGGACCCAACAGTTTGCGTGTCACGTGTACCTATAGGACCATTCGACCTTTGGGACCTAATGGCTTACGTGTCACGTGTACCTATGGGACCTTTCTCCATCTCCATTCGACCTGTGGGACCCGACGGCTTGCGTGTCACTTGTTGTCGCCGGGGTTTAATAAATTCAAACTCATAAAAACCATGAGACCTGGGAGTCGAACCCAGGACCAAGATCAAGGAATAGGCTGTCTTCACCATTGCTAGATGCCTGGTTGTGTTGACATGTCTTTGGAGTCCTAATAGTAGTATATGTCCTCTGTGTGGACAGGTTGACTTATATATTGGATATATCACCTGCAAGTGGAAAGAAATCTATGTCTGTTGGACTTGCGGCGACGGCGGTAGTGGAGGATCCCCGGTGTGTTATGGTGGCTCAGGCGTCCTTTTGGAGGCTAGGCGGCGGGTCTTCCCGGTGGAGCGCGACGGCATTGGCGTCCGTGTCCGTCATGTGCTGCGGCAGAGGCGATAAATCTAATCCGCAAGTCTCCTTTCTTACCTTTTCCTGTTCGTTTTACTGTTTTGGTCCTTGCTTGAACATGAGGTATACAAGAAACATTGTAGCATTGTAGATCTGGTTAGGCCAATGCTGATGAAAAGAAGTAGGAGGTGGCACTGGTTGGTTTTTTGTTGGTGTCTTGGTTTTCTGTGTAAATGCCTATGTGCAACTAGGCCTGTTAATTGTCAAGTGCTTGCTTGATTATACCTATCTATCTAGGCAAACATACAGATCCTTCGCTTCTGCCGTAAACTATTTTTTCTATCCATGATTCTACATTTCTGTTTCATATGCTCCAGTACCACCAGTGAGTCCTTATGGTATTTTAAACTTGTAACATATCTGAGGCCACATTTCTGTGCCAATGATGTCTACATGGTTGTTGGATGTATTAGGATGCAGCTCATATGTTTGCTTTCTGTGTCTTCTCCTTGTTGACAACCAAGTTATCCATTTGGTTCCAAACAAGAGGAATGTATCGAAAGCAAATAAGTGCTTTGTGTCAATCATTCACATCACTGAGGCCAATAATGTTTAAGCTGCACATGTTGCTACTTATGCCAATGATGATCACTACCACTTGTTCACTGACATTCTACTTGTGAAAGCTGAGGAAGCTTTAACTGTTGAAATTGTAATGGTTACAGCTCCATTAACTGCAACTCTAGTTTGACTTATATATATCTATGTGGTGCTACTCTAAATTTACATGAGGTCATACCATGAAAATTGTTAATGGTTATTAAAGTTGCACTTTGGTATGAGTTGTGGACTTCACTGATGGATCTTTGTTAGATTATTTTTCTCTTCAGTGATCTCATTACTGAGGAAGTTCTCATCGTACTGTACACTAACAAAATGGAGGAGGCCCCCAACAAGAGAAATGCACTGGCCAGCCTCACGGAGGATATCGTTTTCGAGATCCTACGCTGCCTCCCCGCCCGCTCCTTATTCTGCTGCAAATGTGTCTGTCGCTCTTGGAAAAACCTCATCTCGGACCCCAACGACCATAAGAAGCTACCCTAGACTGTTGCTGGCTTCTTCTTCGACAGTGAGGACGGCAATCGAAACTTCACCAACGTTGTCTGTGGTGTACGCCCCCGCTCCTTGGAATTCTTGCCCTTCAACATTGAAAATGGAGCTGTTTCAGATTGCTTCAACGACCTCATCCTATGCTGGTGTCTTGGGGCTGATGGATACCGCTATGTCGTCTGCAATCCAATGACCCAGAAGTTTAAAATTCTATCGCCTAGCACCCATGATGTTGGCCATGCTGTTGGTGAGGCTCTCTTGGCGTTCGATCTGACAGCCTCCTCGCACTTCCATGTGATTGAATATGTGGATGTCAACGCTATGTGCGTAGGTGTGGAGGTCTACTCATCTCAAACTGCAGCATGGATCTATAAGGAATCTAAATGGGGCGAGCATGCTGATGTGACATTTTACAGACAACCAAGTGTGTTTCTTAACGATTGTCTACACATTATGGGGCACTATGGGGAGTACCCTATGATACTTGTTGTGGATATGGAGGAAAACACATGGAGAAAAATTGATGGACCTAGTAGTCTTCAACACTCTATGCATCAAGCTCAGGGTCACTTTTGTGTATGTACTGTTGGTGGTCCCAATTATTCCAAGCTTTCAATCTGGATCCTTGAAGACTATGGTACTAATAATTGGACATTGAAACATACGGTCACCATGTGGATCCTGTTTGGAAGGATTAATATTAGATTTGGTTTCCTAGATTTTGTTGACTAGGACATAGTGATTACAATTCACCCAAAATGGAATTTGATTTTCTTTGCTGGGGAGGATGGAATAATCATCGCATATGGCATGGACCGCATAAGTG